ATCCATATTCATGCTCACATATATGTATATACAAATCTCCCCATTAACCTCACCCCTAACAATTTCCATGTGGATTGTGATTTACTCACTGTTGACAGCAGTTGGTAAACAACAATTTAGAGTCAAACTGGACAATGTGTGTGTGTCTGTGTTTACCCAAGTAGTGAAATACACAGGTTTGTTACAGCACATATTTGTTTACCTACATGTCTTGTATCCAGCATACTGTATTTTATTTGGTAAATGAAAGGTAAACACAGGCTTAATTTGCAAATATGATTGTTGAAGTGTGCATCTCTGAGGAAGTCCTATTGTGGGAGGGGAAATGGGTCACAACAGAGAATACAAATTCTTTGTAATATTTAGTTTGACCATTAAAAGTCAGAGAATTGTCGTCGTTGTCATCCCCTCACGGCTCAGGCAGGGTGCCAGGAAAAGTGGGTCAGGTCCTAAAAGCTTAAAAGACCATGCAGGAGAGGACAAAGGACAGCCACATACAGCCACAGGATTACAAATTGTACAACTTTTGCATTATTTGGTAGATAGAGATTCCTCCTTCTGTAGCCAATCTAAGGCTGCAAATAGATGAAATGGTCAGGACTTGGCTAAGGTACTTTTTAAGACAAACCCCAATTACCATGGTGGCTGATTCTGGGACCTAAACTCTGTAAAAAAGTCATTTATTCCAGCTCTGCAATTGACATAGCAGCATGCTATCAAATCACTATATCCAAAGACAGTATGTCACAATGAATACTGTTTGCTGGTGGATCAGTTACAGGGAAAGGCTGTAGTTATTATGTCATCCCTGTGGGATTCCTAAAGGCTTTAAATGTTAGCAATTGTAGAGAACAGGATGCTGGATTAGAGGGGCCTCTGATCTAATCCAGGAATTTTGCCTTCTGTGTTTGTGTGTGTGTGTGTACACCAGTGTTTTTATTTCACAATCTCATATTAGCAAACTGAATGTGTTTTTCCTACAGTCTTTTCTTCTGTAAGCAGATTTAGGTTACCCTCCAAGTACAACTCACATAACCCCTGACTATACAGGCTGATATTGATGAGATTTGCACTTCAAAAATCTGGAGATCTGGTTGCTTATCCTTATTTTAAACTAGAGATTAGATAATTAATGTTTCACACAGGAGCCATGAAGGCATCTGAAAACCTCCACAGTTGGCAGCCATGGCAGTAGGATAGGTAAAGGCCCTCAGAATGACAACTGAATAGAAGGCATAGGGACAACTCAAGAGAAACAGCATTCCTGACACCTTCTGCTACCCTTTTTTGTACATGCATATATAGACACCATAAAGAACTATGGTATCTGATAATATTCACTCACAATTCCATGGGATATTGTAAAAAATCTGCAAGTAGCTTCTACTGGGAACTCCACCAGTACTCCTGTATCTTCTACTTACTGAAGAACAGAGGGCCAATTAGAAAGCTATATACTCAGGATTTTGCTGTTGTACAGTTCTGGAACTCCCAAAGTGTAATCCTACCTGAGAGCTGTGATCTCTGTTTTATTAATAGTTGCCTAATTCATAACATAGCTGTGGCTATCTAGTGGCTGAATGAATTGCACTTTCCATATGCTCACAACTCATTATTCTCTTGTGCTATTTCACACATCCTAAGGTTGTGCTCCAGTGCCATAAACTGATTCCAGGACTTAATAAGTCTTACCTATGAGCTATCATTAATGCCTGTGTGAGAACAACCCATATTTTCTGATGTAGCTCAACACTGCACTCTAGAGTCTCATGTAAGTTACCATCCAGTGTGTCTTGCAAATCAATGATGATCACATTCAGACAGCAGTTCTCCACACACTTATCTGGAAGTAAGCCTCACTAAACCAAATAGAACTTATTTCTGAGCAGACCTCTATGTTACCAATCTCTAATGGACAAAAAAGTTTTTTATACTTTGTAGTCTGGTTGTTTATATATAAATAGTAAATTGAAATAAACAAATAAAATGATCAAGCACTTCAAATATGTGTCTTAATTTGGAGATGACAACACACAGTTAAAAGATGCTAAAAGAAAGAAAAAACAAAGAAAAGATAGGCAGACAGAAAGAAGAGAAGGAAGGAAGGAAGGAAGGAAGGAAGGAAGGAAGGAAGGAAGGAAGGAAGGAAGGAAGGAAGGAAGGCAGCTTCTGTATAAGCTATGTTAGCCATGCAGCAAAATACAATAAAATCCACAGAACAGCTATACCCTTCTTGGGCCAACTAAAAAAGTAGAAAATAAATCATGCAAGATTTGAAGCTCGACTGGGTTCTTTATCAGGCAAAAGTGTTAATAATCACATGGGAGAAGAAAAAAATGACAATGTTAGAGTCACAGGCCTACATTTTGTCTTAAGATGTTACTTCTGTTGTCTTAAGAGGGCCTAGAGGGATTTGGGATCTTGACCCAATAAAAGTATTTCTGTTTTGTGGGTTTTCTTGTATTTCATTGCATGGCCAACAAAGATGCCCCTGAATATGTTTCGTAGATTTCAAGATATCTAATTTAGCCATAACAAGGGAATCCTGAATAAGAGGGAGCCAAAGGATGGGGAATTAACTCTTTGAGGTTTCTATTCCAACAAACTCTTCAATTTGGAATTCCTGTACATTACCTACAGGTTTTTCCAGATGTAACAGTACAGAGACTTCTTGAGAAATTCAATGTTCTCTGCTTACGAAAGGGCCAGTAGCCTCCACAGGACAGAGACACCTTGGATCTCAAGGCGAGCTACATTTTTGTTGCTAGTGCATTTGAAATTTGGTTACGTGGATTTTACTGATCTGTTTCCCAGTCCCCATATGGCCAAAAAAAAAAGGGGGGGAGTGGCCTTTACCTGCATTGATATGTCTAGACCATCTTAATTGACAACAGAACATCTTAAGACAAAATGTAGGTCTGTAACTCTAACATCATCATTTTTTCTTCTCCCGTATGATTTTTAACACCTTTGCCTGATGAAGAAGCAAGTGGAGATTTGAAAGCTTGCATGATGTACTTTGTATTTAGTTGGCTCAAGAAAGGTATCACTGTTTTATGGATTTTGTTGTATTTTGCTGCATGGCCAACACAGCTACGCCTAAATATGTTTTCTGTATCCTGCTGCTGAATAGAATAAAATACTTCTGTAGGGCCCTTTCACACTACACAACAATAGCACTACATTCTATTTTAACTGGCTTGGGTCCATTCTAAGAAATCTTGGGATTTGCAGTATAAAGGAGGGGAAATTAGAATTCCCATCCAGAATGTTTATCTAGTATCTCATCAACTATAGTTGATGCAGCCATGGTAGTTAAACTGGAATCATGGTGCTATAATAGTGCAATGTGAATGGGCCCTAATTCAAGAGACATCCCTTAACAACACAGTAAATATACAATATATTCTACTAAAATAACTAGATTTACTGACCAATTATTTTTAAGAGAAGGTCGCAAAAATGCTATCACTGGTTGAAAGAATGAAAGGACCATGACAATGCATCCAATAACAGCATGGGCTCCTGCATTCTGTGGAAGATAAAAAATTGTAATTTGCATTTTGTTAATACAACTGTAGCCACTACATTAAAAATGCATTATTTAAAATGAATATAGAATACATCCCAATTATACTTTGCTTGACAAAGAAAAGCAATAAATGGAGTAAAAGCTAAAAGCAAGGGGTATATTTCTTTTTCTTTAATACTGAAATAATCTTAATTCTTTTTTCTCATAAATGGGCTCCTCCAAACAGGGGAAATATGTCAGGGGGTTGTAGCATTTGTTGTTGTAGGTTTTTTTTGGAGAGGGAATTCAATATCCAAATGACATTTCCGTTGTCCCAGACTATTTTCAGACAATTCCCAGCAACAGCTGCAATATTTTATTCCCATCCTTGAGTGGTTTATTTTTAAAATTGTGAAGCGTATCAAAACAAAAAACTCTTTTTCTCCTCCTCTTTTCTGTTAATACAGCTTTGAAAGCTCGCATGGTACAACTGTGTATATATGCATATTTCTTATTATTTAAACATTATGAAGAGCAAAGTGAACATATTTCCTATTATTCAAACATATATTATGAATAATAATATTTCAACATATTTTTTAGAAATTTACTGATTGTTAAGGTCGCTGAGTTAGCCCAAATGGCCAAATTATTGTGGGTTCCAAAGGGTAAGCCAATTGAAGACTTTTAAGGTAATAGAAACTGTTTATGTTTGTTTGTTTGTTTGTTTGTTTGAGCAATAAGAAATCTAACAATGTAATAGTTTGTAGTTATGATTTTTAGTAATTTTGGAAGGATTATTTAGCTGGATCTGTAATGGTAGAATAATATATTTTTTATTATTAATACTTTAACCCATTACAGTTGGGACTGGGGGAAGGTCAGAGCCCTTTTGTGTATTAGGTTATGTACATTTCTTCTTCTCTCTGTTTTCTCTGTGTTTTCTGAATGTAAATTACTTTGCTTTTAAATTAGATTATTCATGTTTTAAAATTAATTTTAAAAGAGAAAGGGAAAAGGGGGGCTGCTGTCTAGATATTACCTCAACATTTATATTTATTGAACATCAAATGAGCCACACTAAACAAGTCTAAACCATATTTATATCCAAGGAAACATTTATTCTTATGTATTTAAATTTATATTTCTAGCCTGTCTTTTCTCTAATGAGCTCCAGGCAGGCAATGTTGTTCTTTCTCCTCATTTTATCCTCACAACAATGTTGTTCATCAGGCTTTATGTGTTTGTATGTGAAAGATTGGTGCCCCCTGTGAGTTTCATGGCTTAGTAAGAACTACAACTCAGATATCCCAAGTCCCAGTCCAGTTTTTGTTGTGTGTCTTCAAGTTGTTTTTGACTTATGGTGACTCAAAGGCAAACTTATCATGTGCTTTTTTCCCCAGCAAGATTTGTTCAGAGAGGGTTTGCCTCTGCCTTTCTCTGAGGCTGAGAGAGTGTGACTTGCCCAAGGTCAGCCAGTGGGTTTCCAAGCCTGAGTAGGGATTTGAACCCTGATCTTCAGGGTTGAAATCCAACACTCAAACCACTATATTACATTGGCTGTCAGGTAAGTACTCCAATCACTGTACCACACTGACTCATGAGAACCATACTAGCTCACAAACATTAAATTGTGTGGTTTTTAAAAATGGGATCAGCATAATGGCTATGGATGCATAATGGCCTGCAATCCATTTTGAGCAGGGATGGTACTTTGGTCTCCATTCCTACATCTCATTTTTAAAGCAATCTTCTATTAAAATTAAGTTTTCACCGGGGCCTTAGAAGCTTTTGTAAATAAATAAATAAATAAATAAGTCTAACTTACATCACTCCATCCTTTTACTGCTACAAAGATCAGTATGAAAGCAATTGATGTTGCCACCACAGATAGCAACATGAACAAAGAGTGTATCTAAATGAAAAGAAAGTTAACACTTTAATTTGATTATAATGAAATGTTTCTGTCTGGCTCATATATTACTTTTCTATTTGAAAAATAATTTTATAACAGCTTTTAAAAATTAACATATTTTGTATTTGAACAAAATAATGCCTTTGAATCTTCTCATGTTCTAGTCTGCTTTATATTTCAATTGCATTGTCCCATGCACTCTTTCTCAGTAACCTTGAGAAAGAGTCCTTCTTTAAAGGCACTGATTTACTATTACCACTAGCAAGAAGAAATATACATAATTCGCTGTAAGCTTGGCTGAGAACAATATATTTCATTAAGCAAAACCAACTGTTATAAATACACAAAAATCTAGACTAAAAGAAAAAGGGCTAGCTGATTACTTATTTTTCCCTAAAACAAATGAGAAAACTTATATACTCAAGAAACAGAAAGGATACTGTACTTATCTCATGCTTCAATTGGCAAAAAATGGCTACTGGAGCATAACATTTTGCAAAGGAAATGAAACTACAGTTCCTTATTTAGGAACAAGTTCGACTGAATTCAAAAGATATGTATAAGATTGCAATGCAAAACATAAATTAGACAAGGAAAAACACCACAAGAGATCAATGACAAGTCATTATTTTCTTATATAGTTTTGATATAATATATAACAATAATTATCACTAAAAATGAGAGCTCTTGCAACATAGATGTTTATCATACTAGTTAGTTATTTTAGGTTGTTCCATTTGAAAACCACTTCTCCTGTACTCCAAAAGGCAGTGGAATGGCAAGGCACTTCACATCACCACTGCATTTGTGCTTCAGTGTTTTCTTTCTCACACTTGAAGTATGACAATACCATTTAAGCCACCTTTTCTGCTTCTCTTTCTGGTGGGTTTTTAAAAACAACAACAACAACCAGGAAGCTGTACATGCACAACTGAACGCATTGTTATGGAACCTGCTCAAACTAGGAAGATGAATACATACCACCTGACCTCCAAAAGCGTTTTTCTATGAAAAAATCACATGAATTTAAATGTGTCTGGCTCCGCTTTTGTATACTGCTCTTTAAACTTTTGTATGCAGTGGACCATTGAGATTCAGTGCCAGGGGACCCTGCAAATGGCTAAAAATGCTGATGGTTGTGCCTCATGCTATTCAGTGATGGTGATATATGTATGGATGCATCAACATACATGCACTGTTATTGAATAATACAGGGTGTGACGATTCACAGGCAGTCAAATCAGTGGATTGCCAGTCTGCCGATAGGATCGGGCCACTGTATTTACTTCTTATTTTTTCCTGAACCCTGTGGTTTCTCTGGGCAATAATTCTATGTAAGATTCCATAAGTATTGTACTATTGCACTATATCCCTTATATATAAGTTCTCTTAGAAACTCTTAGGAATGCTGGCATTCTCCCAGCCCAACCACTGGAGGTAAACTGGGGTTTCCCTACTGAAAGAATCCCCAAGGGAGGAACAATAAACCACAACCACACAGGACTCACTATGCTCTTATTTCTGTAACAAAGTGGAGGGAGACATTTGCACTCAAAGTGGCTACTAAACCACAATGGGTCATTAACCAAATTATTCCATGTGAGAAAATAATAGATTTCCAAATGGCCCAACAGCAGGATACAGCACCAGGAGAGCTATAGCATTGTACGATAAGCTCTAGGCAAAGACAGGACTGACTCAATGCAATAACAGTGTCATGTGATAAGAGTGTTGAAATGTGAGGTCCTGAAGATGGCTTCAGGAAAAGCTTCACTTCAGAACTGGGTCAGCAATTTGTGGCATTCTAGATGTTATTGAACTGTAATTCCCTCATACTTCATCAGTCACTATCCTAGCTAGGGCTCATGAGAGTTGCAGTTCAATAACCCTGGAAGGACAGAAGTTGTCCTCTCTGGTCTACAATGTATTAGATGTACCATTCTTATCCTCAACAGCAATGTCTGTTTGCAGAAAGGTACATAATACACTGTAGTAGTTGTACTAAACTCTTATTCTGAAATAAATGACAGGTGTGTTCACATTTCAATTAAGGATATTGTCCGGTAAATGCAGACAATTTATGGTCTCTGCAGTTCAAAAGCTTACACTTATCCATAAACATCCATACCTGAAACCAAATATCTTTACCCAGAAGAGTTCTTTTGATGGACTTCTTCAGGTACCTGGCAAATATCATTCCTACACTGCCTGTGGTCATCCAAGCAATCAGCATGAGAGCGCCTTACAAAAACAAATCACAGGCATGAGAGGTGATACCACAAAAACAAATGGTATTTCCAACATTAGTTTAATGTATCTCCAGATGCTACTTGAAATACTTGGTTTTTCTAAGACAAAGGAATGTAACAAAGAATAGTAGGTGCAGCTAATCCTCAGAGTAAATGTGCATTTGGCCAGAATCATACCATTTCTGTAGAACACTGATGTGCATGTGTATATACATCTTAAGCTATACATGAAGTAAGAGTTAAAGTGATTGTTAATCACTCAACAAGAAGCTTGGTTTCATAGTGAGCTAGAAAAAAGAATGAGCCTGATTACCTGTGCAAAATAACTAGTTATGATGGTGCTTAAAAGCTTGTTGGAAAACCTGTAATTTCTTTTTCTCCTGCAAATAACTTGTCATTGTTACTGTTTTGAAATGAGAACACCAGGTAAAAGATCTAGCAACATGGGCTCAACAGCTCTAGTTAGTGACTGAAGCCTGCAAGGGAATTGAACCCTAAGAAAGTGGGCGTGTAAGGCTGTGGAGGACCTGATGTCCCAGCCAAATACAGATAGGTCCCGACTGGCAGGTATGTGACAGGCAGGAGCATGCAGCATCAGAAGAGTGTACCATGAGAACTGGAGGCAAAACTAAAGCTATTCAACAGGGCCTAGGAGAGAGACAGGTATAAAATGGAAAGTAGAGAGTTATTTTGCTTTTCTGTTTCATACATAGCAAATGAGAGCCAGTGTGGTGCAATGGTTTGAGCATGGTTGACTATGGAGACCAGGGTTTGAATTCCTGCTCAGCCATGGAAACCCACTGGGTGACCTTGGCCAATTTATAGTCTCTCAGCATCAGAGGAGGGCAAAAGCAAATTCCCTCTGAACAAACCTTGCCAAGAAAGGCCCATGGTAGGGTTGTCTTAATGTCGTCATAAGTTGGAAACTACTTGAAGGCACACAACAGCAAACAACATTGTAACTAAATAATAAATTACACAAATCCTAATTGCATAATATATAGTTATGATTTACGTATTTACTTATTTGATTTACATCAAATTTATATTTGATTTTTCTCAAATATAAATACCAGGCCATGATATGAATTACATCAAATATAAATACACCAGACCATGTATACATCATCATGGGTAGAGTTTCATTTCCCCCCGTTACAGAATCAGTCATGGGTCAGATTGTGTTGTCTTCTTTCATTGCTTCCTGCCCTACTGACCCCTTTCCCTTCCTTTTTTTATCAAGTCCTTCTGCCTCTGCCTCTGCCTTATATAACCCATTTGTGGGTTTCACAAAGGAAAGAGACAACTTGTATCCTAAGAGAAGTTATTTTATTGCTGCTGATGGAGTTTTAATTGTATTGTCCTTTGTCTCAGTCCCTACATGGCCAAGAAAGGGAGTGGCCCCTGCCTGCACTGAGATCCTTCTAAACCAACTGAACTATAGCACAAACAACATCTGATGCAACATGTAGTCCTGTGAATCTAACATTGTCTCTTTTCTTCTCCTGCATGATTTTTAACACTTTTTGCTTGATCAAGAATCCAGTGAAGCTTTGAAAGCTTGCATGGTGTAGGGTGTGTATAGAAAGAGCAACTCAGGTACCAGTTCCCGAAATTACAAAGTTAGCTTTGTAAAAAATACAGTGGGACATTGGTATCCACCTTGGTATTCTGGTCTGCCCCATCCCGCCCCCATGTGTGCATACCAAAAACCGCAGGACCTCAAGTCCCCTTGTCCCCAATGGAGGTGTGTGCATGCAGCTGCACTGCTGTTAGGGACAATGGGACTTCAGGTAAGCCCTCATTGTCCCCAATGTTTGTATGGCTGTGTGCATGCGCCAGGACTGGGGACAAAGGGGCTGTGCTTCAGGCAGCATGGCCACGTGCATGCTGAGGACAACAGGGATTTGCCATCTGTGGATGCTTAAATTCATGGATGGCAAGCCCACAGATAACAAGACCCCAATGTAGTTAACTTGTAGGATCTGGGACAATTTCATTTTTATTCCATTTCAAATTAATAGACGCCCAAGAGGACATCAAAACCTTTGTGACTGTAAGCAATCAATAGGTGTAAAATTGGCATAGCTGATCAAGGACTATCCTTGAAGGAAGGGAACAGAAGAACATGTAAACCAAAAGCACTCTGTCTTCACACACAATCTGGACTCACTTCAAAAATCTGTGGAATGAGTTTATGAGACCAAGACCAACTTGCAAGCCTCCCTTACTGTGACTACAGACACTAAAGTGGAAAGATAGAATTGTGTGAATCAACTCATACTTGGTGACTTACCATGAGCCTTAATAATCAAGGGTGTAGAAGAGGTGCCCCCTAGTGTTTGGAAGCTTGAAATGTTCACCTTCTGATCAGTGATGAAAGGTCTCCTGGTATGC